CATCGATTTTCGGCCTCTACACGTCGTTTCCTTTCCGGAAATACTCATACTGTAGAGTATTTGATAGTTTTTCTTGACCCGATGGCCGCCATCTTGGATTACAAAATGGCATCTGACATCGATTTCCGGTCCCTACATGTCATCTCCTATCCGAAATACCCATGTTGTAGGGTATTTGACAGTTTTTCTTGAACTGATGGCAACCATCTTGGATTCCAAAATGGCATCTGACATCGATTTCCGGCCTCTACACGTCGTTCCCTATCCGGAAATACCCATATTGTAGGGTATTTGACAGTTTTTCTTGACCCGATGGTCGCCATCTTGGATTCCAAAATGGCGTCTGGCAACGATTTCCGGCCTCTACACGTCATCCCCTTTTCAAAAATATCCATATTGTACGGTATTTGACAGTTTTTCTTGAACCGATGGCCGCCATCTTGGATTCCAAAATGGCATCTGACATCAATTTCCGGTTCCTGTTCTCACATTGCACAGCAACATCTTATATGGACAAATTTTAGAGTCATAACATATTAAGGAAGTTTATGTGCACTCTAGCGCCACGTAGTGTGAGAGTTCTGAAATAATATGACCATCATAGGAATGGACTTAGTGACCTGAACAACTTTTCTCAAGACAGTAACCATCTATATGGCCAGGTTCTCGAGATTCAGCTTATACAGGAAATTTACTTGCACACTAGCGCCGCGTAGTGAGCGTGTTCTGAACTAATATGGCCACCATCCAAAAGGACTTGATCACCTGCACAACTTTGCTGAAAACAGCAAATTTCTATATGGCCAGGCTCTCGAGATACAGTTTATATAGGAATTGCACATGCACACTAACGCTGCGTAGTGAGAGAGTTCTGAACTAATATGGCCACCATCCGAAAGGACTTGGTCAACTGAACAACTTTGCTGAAGACAGTAACTTTCTATATGGTCAGGATCACGAAATATTCTATGTTGGAAATATGATCCATATATTATAGCGCCCGTCATAAGTAACATAAAAGTGAAGCGCCTTTAGCGGCGTAGTTCCCAATTTAACCTGAATCCAATGGCACAGGCTTGTTGGTCTAACCCAGTACAGCAACTTTGTCGAAGACAGTATAGCTTTATGTATTGAAACAAATGAGATAATCCACTACAGCCCCCATTAGTGAAAATCCCATAAGCTGTGGGTATCCTTATTCGCGGTTCCTTATTCACGCCCCCGTTACCCCGGCAATAAGGATTCCTGACTGTATTATTAAATATTTTAATATATATTAGCAGAAAATTGCTCAAAACCAGTGAACAGAATTTTGGCCAGGTTTTTGTTCCAGTTACTCCTCTGTGCGTCGGTGAGTCGCTGGTTTCCCGTTAGGTAGGTGTTGCATCAACAATATCCTTCCTTTCCCCATAACGGAGAAGATGGGCGTGGTCGGTAATGGTGATTGTCAAGCTTTTCCTGTTCTGAACTTTGATTGGCGAGCTATTCACTCCCTAATAGTTTTCCTTAAGGTGTTTCCTTGTAGAGTTCATGTTTCCATAACACCTCGCAATTTCAAGAGCACACAACTCAAGATCTACGACGTTTATACATCTGCAAATTTCAGACATTGCTTGCTTCTCCGCAGCAAACAACAAGTAGTTGCTACGTGCATTCACAGAAACCTTATTATTTTTACATGTGAAATTGCGAAGTATAACACGAAAAAGGACGCTACAGGGAATCGCCTTAAGCAATCATAACAAGAACATTAAAATAGATGCATGACATTTTCTAATATGCAATCTACGAATTACTCCGTTACAAACGCAACGAAACGCAATGCAAATTTGTTTGGAATTCTTCTATAGAAAACTCTTCAAAGTGAATTTAAAAATTTAAAAATCTGCTTTGTTTCGTAATATTCTAAATCCCAGATTCTTCTATTATGCTTGAAAATGTAACTTCATGTTATTTTTATGCTAGGTCGAAACATTTATCCAATGTTTCAGTAGGTTCCATTGTAGAAAATCCAATTCTGAAATATTGATATATTTAATGAGTCCTAGAATTTTGAAGATATTGGCTGCAATATTAGAGCAGTTTCAGGAAAAATATGATTTTTTTAATCGACCTGCTCTGATTTGTATCAAACTTTGCAAAATTGTTTGTTATGGGCAGAGGTTCACATTTTTGCTAAAATTCTGCCATTTTTGGATCTTGTAAAATCACCCCCTGCCTTCCTGGCTACGGCTATGACTACGATCATTCTGCATGTAAATGTATCAGATGTTTCTGGAACGAGAGTACAGAATAAAGCGTACTTACCAAGTTCATTTAACTGCTACGTAATTCAGAATGAGACATGTCTACGGCAGTCACCTTTGTGAAAAAGCAAATGTTCTGTATTTAATTGTTAATTAGGAGTATGACTCAACGATTTGGTTTGCAAACTTTGTTTCATTAAATACGCACTGATAGTTTTCTAGAAGCATGTTCAGCTTGTTGATATTCCCGACTTACGGAAACTGGAATCAGAATCAAATAATACAAGATGGTACGAGCTTAATCAAATACCCGTTAACTGGACTCGAAGACGACGAAACGATTCGTCTACATCTTCCTCATACTGCATAGCTTGTATAATTCGAAACATTATTCGACAACCAGCTAAAATGTAAACAAGACCAGCTCCTACGGTCTTTTGTTAACTGCATTAATTACTGGTGCAATGCATCCAACCAACCGGTTCGAGGATACCTTCCCGTATATAGCACTGTGTGTGTGCAGGTATTTGTGGTTTATATGGTATGCAATGCATCAGCCGCTTCGTTCTGCCCATGGCATGCGTTGTATAAAGCCACAATCCTACTACGCCCCATCATCGAGAATGTTCGATCAAATGGAATCACATTACTCCAAGTGCTCTCCACTCCGAGACCGTTCCCACTCCCGTTGGATGATACTAACTGTGCGGAGAGTTGGGTTTTACAACGTTCAACATTATGCTGGCAATAAACTTAATTGAAATCGAGCAGAGTTGATCCGTGGTAAATCGAATTAGTGCAACAACTGCGTCGGAAAGCCATTGTTGACTGATAGAATCGATTTCGATATACTACTAATTTGATTTCGCAAATTAGGCACCGATCCAAGGTCACTTTCCCGCATTTCAATCAGAGCCCAAGTGGTTTCCCAACCTAATGGATCCTTTGATCTGATATCGGACCATCATTGTCACTCGTCACGGTTTTTCTGTTGCTTTCTCGAACGCAAGAAGGACGATGAGATACATGTTTTCGATATTCCTTATCCTTCGAATCGAAGCTTTCTCAAACCATGTAGGGATGTAGGTTTGATTGACAACCAATTTGGTCTTCTTCCGGCGAACGGACATCCTATCGTTCGTCGATTGTCATCCGATGGAAAAGACTCCAAGGACCAGGTGAAGCCACAGTAAGAAAAAAAAACTAGCAAATGTGGCAGCTCGAATGCACTTTTAGTTGACGTGACTTTTTTGTACCGTGCCCACAACGAGCCTTTGATGTTTGTTGAAGTGCTTTCGAGTGTATGCTGCTACCTTAGGTTGATGATGAGAACAGAGTGCTTCTCTCGAGGGTGCTTATTCCTTCGGTGGCGGCATTCTTAGAGAGCCGTTTGTTAGAAGCCGAGACGTGTAGGAGAAGGTTGACTTTCTTGAGGTGTTTTGTGAGTCAACACTTGCATGTCATTTGAAGTGCCGACAGCTGTTATAAGCCAGGTTGGCACTAATTGCGAAAACAATTGAACATTTATCACATGGTTGGCTTTGTCGTTGACAATAACGTTTGAATGTATCGAGGCTTTGCAATAAGCGCAAGGAATTAAGTTAAATTAAAACGGATATGAAGCTGAGTGCCACTAGTTTATATTTGGAAACCAAAACAAAGCACACTTAGAAAAATTGATGTAAATTTAGGTGCTCTGAGACTGACATATACGAGCGTCAATTTTGACATAAAATTAAGTCATAATAGACGTAACATTCAGCTCAATCAAATTTACTTTCGACCTTTTCAGTCTCGGAGCACTTAACTTTACATGACATGTTTGTTTACGTCTCATTCTTTATGTCAAAGATGGATTCCGTCACGTGTAAGATTAGGTATTTGTTAGGTTAATGGGAAACTACAGGTACTGAAAATTATCTGGCATCCATCTTCGGAAATAAATTTAGTTATATTCCGCTAGCAAAATCCATATTTCCATAACAAATAACTTTAAACAACGAGTGAAAAACATCACCTACTGAAACACACTTCCCTCACCTGTCACCGCAGGCCATGGCCTAGTAATTACCAGACACAGCCGGATTCCAATTAGTTGAATGTTTAATGAACGATAGTGGTGATGATGTGGTAGGGTGTTTAGTCCGGGTCGGGAACAGCATATTTAATTATCCGACAGAACCACCGACGGTTGTTGAATTGTTTTTGTTATTGCGGCAGGGATGACGGTTTAGATGATGATTCTGATGGGGAAGGACAAGAGATGATACTGCATTCCATTCAATGGATTTGTACCTCTAGCGGGATAATAAATGCTTCTCCCACGTATCCCACATATCTGGGTGAGGCATTCAGTTGCTTACGGGTGGAAGGCTTCACGAGAAGATGTGACTGGAAACCACAAGTTTTCAGTTGTCGGTAGAAGTTGAAGATTTATGACAAATGATAGCGCACTGTTATGGCAATTAACAGCAAAGCGAGCTAAATTTAACACGAAATACGTTTTCGGATGCGGTGATGATAATTAACTACATCGAAGTTTCTAATCGTGACTGTCACAATTTGGGGCTCAGGTGGTAGTTGATAACAATCTACGTATTAAGTCACGCCGGAACGGCGAAACTAATTCTGATAATTGGTGACACGCTATTTTGATGGATGAAACCAGCTAATCGAATTCCCATACCTTGAAAATGCTTTAGACGATTGACGTTAATTGTTCTGCTCTCTGTTTTCTATCCCGCCACATTTCAGGAATCCTACCGGAAGCACTCCGTACCAAATGTAGTCGCTGTTCCGTCACTCAGAAAGAGAACGCACTGAAGATCATCACCACTCTGTACTACAACTACCCGGAACAGTATCAGGCCCTTCGGGAACGATGGGATCCATCCGGCGAATATCACCGTCGGTTCGAGGAGTACATCCAGGGACTGCAGTTCAATCAGATCGGTAGCAACGGCAACGATCGCCCGGTAAGAAACGACTTCGATCGTGACCAATCGCAGGTCCTGCTGCAGACGTTGATCCTCTCGACCACCACACCACCGTCACCATCGTCCCCGAATGTGATCCCCAGCGAACCCGAGCAACGACCATCCCAACAATTGGCTCCATCGGCACAGCTAACACAACCGGTAGCACCTGTTTCAATTACTTCTACCACTTCCACCACAACCATTGCCTCCAGTACGACCAGTACTGCTATCCCTACTACCACTACTACTACCATTACTACTTCCAATCCCACAACCTCTGCTGCAACTGCTACTACTGGGACTACTCCTACTACTCCCATCACTACCACGGGTTCTAGTAGTAGTACAAATATGGCCACAGCGGAGACTAGCCAAGCGCCAGGGACGGTAGCCCCCATGGAAAACCCGGTACATAATATGGCTTTAAGTTTTACTAATGGAGTGCTAAGTATAGTGATGATAGTTTTTAAGGGTTAACAAGTAGGTTTGGTAAGGTGTAAAGCTTTAACTCTCTTTTGTACAAAATTACAGTAGTTAAGATGCATTTATGACGAATTTTTCGAGTGATTGGCAGTAACTGAAGCTAATTCCAATTCATATTTAACCACTGTAAATATACGGAAGACTAATCGCATGCTTTAAATACTGCTTCTAATCAATTGTTCGACTTATTTTCGAATAAACTAGCTTGTTTCAATTGCTTTCGATCTTTCTATACTTCCTCATTTATCTCAGCCTTAACCCTACTTTAATTATATTTCAGTATATCCAAACGAACCAATCAATATACAATCCAATTTTAGGACATTTTTTAATATGTATTGAACTAACCGACTATAGCATTTGTCACAGAAATGCATCTCCCCAAATGCGAGCGAGACCATTGTCTCTAGTCGGAAGTTTGTGTGGCAGTGTGTCACCAGACCAAGTTTCACAGAGCGCGTTTTGTGCACTTTGGCTTCCGGTAAGCGATGTAAACAGCAGGAGGTATCGCTTTCACCACGGGCCAAATGACACCGACTGACCGGTTAGTTCTGTGTCGTTTGTGGGTGGGTCGTGTGCTAGCAAGCATAATACTTTGTTAGTGCAAGCGTGTGCCGTAGAGGATGGTGGAGTTAAGCGTTTATGGCAGTGCTATCTTAAAACTTGCAGCATTTGGGAAACTTTTTTGAATTTGCTTATTGTAAGGTCCAAGCATTCCATTTTGGATAATTCTGACATGCTACTGAGTCATTTTTTGGGAAATTTCATACCCTCGTCAGTTCCTTAACTCTTCAGACTTTAAACCACTCTATTTACCACCAAGCTCCAAACCGAACACAAGTTTCAGTCAACTTTTCTGACAATGTTCAATTCTAAAGCAAAAGTTCAAATTTTATTTTATTTTATTTATTTGTATGCATCAACAGGCTGAGTTTAGCTCCAATGATGATTTAAGTAACTAAGATACTTCAAAGAATAAATATTAAGAATAAAATACATAAACAAAACACACGTGAATGATCGGTTAACTGTGCCAGAAAAAAACGATGAGAAGTATCTTCGTAGCAGCTGTCGAGGCAGATGCAAATCGAAAATGCCACCTATTGCACCGTTCATGCCTTAGTTTGTGCGCTGAAGTGGAAATCTCAGCATAACTTTGTTACGTAGCACACGGGGTTGGACGTTAATGTTGACTTGCTCCAAGATTGCACTGCAATCAAATCTACCATGTAAAGTTTCCGCGATTAACAGTGCCCTAGAGGTATCTCTTCTAGTTTGGAAAGGATCCAGATCAATCAGCTGGCAACGACTTTGATAGCTGGGCAGATGAAATGGGTCTCTCCAAGGCAGCTTCCGCATAGCGAGCTGCAGAAAACGGCGTTGAACGGACTCAACTTTCTCAACACGATTGTTGTAGTTTGGACTCCAGACCACAGAACAGTATTCCAGAATGGATCGCACCAAGGAACAGTACAGTGACTTCAGACAGTAGATGTCGGAGAAATTCTTTGCTACCCTGAAGATAAAGCCCAATGTGCTAGACGCCTTGTGGACAACGTGCGAAATGTGCTGCTTGTACGTAAGTGCCCCTAACTTCGTAGTCAAATGTGATTGGTTATTTATTCCCAGTAAAAATGATCACTTAATGGGGTTAACCACCATTCTCTTCAAATTACACCACCTGGCAAAGGTTTCGAACTGACGTTGAAGGAAGTGACAGTCATCAATCGAACGGATTCGTAGGTAGATTTTAAGGCCTTAGATGACCAAATTCACGTCATTGAAGTCGAGGAAGAAAATCAAATGTCCCCGGTGACTTCCTTGAGGTATTCCTGACATAGCTAGATAGATATCGGACCGGTTGTCATCAATGGCAACCATCAGTTGTCGATCAGTGAGATATGAACGAAACCATCGCAAGAGGTTGCCGCTGACCCCAAGTCTATGCAACTTGGCAATCACGAAAGCATGGTTTTGCTTATCGAAGGCAGCTGACATTTCGGTATATATGACGCCTGTTTGCGTCCTCTCGGCCATGCTTTTCGTAAGATACGATGTCAAACATAGCAGATTTCTCGCGTCACTTTTTAAATAGACCAATCTACATTGATCGATTCTTTTCATCGACTCTCTTTTTCGGCGGCAGTGGAAATCATGTTGACGTTGGCATCCATTGCACCCAGTGTTTGACCGTAGAGTGGAACATTACTAGCTGCTAGGGTAACGTGTTCGTCGGTTAATCTCTCATTCGAGAGGTTTCCAATGTTAAAAATTAATGATGTTCAGTGAAATTACCGGTGAAAACATGCCTTCGTTAAGGCTCATCTGCTAAAAAACGTCCATAATATCTGCTGAAAATACATTTCGTACAAGGATTTAAGGGAAGCCAAATTTAATAAGAACATCTCATAGAAAGACAGTTGAAAGGCAATTCTCCCCTATGTAAGATTTCAAAAAATTTCGAAAACTAATCAGAATACTCAATATATTAAGTAATTATGCGGGATAGCATCATCACAGCCTAATAATTTTAATACAATTAGTTTGTCAATTTTCTATAATGTTAGAATAAATTTTCATATCTAAGATTTATACGATGAATTGCCCCCGAATTATGGTATTAAATTTAGAGTTCCGTTAAATATACTTGTTTGATTCCTACATAAAAACAGAACAAATGAGTATTTAAAAGGATTTGGAAACATCCATGAAGCATTGAAGCCTACATTTAGCTTCAATCAATCTTCTTACGAACATTACTTTGGATATTCAGCAAACAAAAAGAACTCAGCCATTCATCAGTTATCGATGTCCTCAATGACCTTCATTTGCAATTAATCGAAGCTAATTTGCTCAAAGATCTTTTACCTCAACTAAAAAATTAGTGACCAATAAGCTCAAATATATTGGCAGACCAACGTGAAAAATTAAATCAGAAGATCAGAGTTAAACTTCATAATTGAACGTTAAATGAAAATAATCTGCTTTGGCAAATACCACAAATTTTTGCTCATCCTCCATGCCCGACGAAATTTCCTCCTCTGGCCCTGACTATACCTCGTTGAGTCTGTAGATCTTCAATATCTGAGCTTCCAAATGACTTAGAGAATCAAGATGATTAAGTATGTACCTCACATGTCTTTATGAATCTTTACAAAGCTCTAATTGTATATTAACAGCATTCAAGACTTTGTTGAGCCTCCAAAATAATCTAAGCTTGGGGATTAGTCGGGGACCTCAAAATACTTTGCATTATAAGTATTTATCTATAACAAATTCACACTATATTATGGAGCTCCACGAAGCTGTACGGGCTCCAATATTTAGTCAGGATAATACATTGTTGAATCTGTAAAACATTAACAAACTCCAGGATGATTTGGAAAACTCGAAATACATATCATTTCAACTATATATTCCACATGAACATTTGCCAGACTAGCAATTCTCTTTATTCAAATCAGGTATATTATCTTCAACACGTGTCTATCTATGTATGATGATGTATGATAATTGTCTATCACTCATTGTAGCACGGAAACTAAGTTCGATAGCAGTGGGCGCTCCTCACTGTTTGATTTGATCAAGCTTAATAAACTCTGACTGTCCCCAACATGTCACTGCATGAAGGGACAAAAACGGGTTGGGTGGATCGATAGGTAAATTTACCTATAAGCATCCACGGGATGGTACATAATCTCCTTCCAGCCACATGCTCATACAATTGGTCTAAAAACGAGATCTGATGAGCAGTGAAAGCAACTGCTCCATTCAAGACCATTGAAGAAGGTTGGCCGGAGTCCTTGCGCTGCTCATTTACGTAATTCCAGAATGACTTCGGGTACGACTTGAGTTTCCTCTAACTCCTGATCATTGAGTCTAACGTAGTGACGTTTCAGCGAAAGCGTGCGATACTTAGTGAATTTTCTTAATGTAACTCTTTTGGTCGACTTCAACCTACGCAGTTTACTCGTCTGCCAGAGAGGATGAGACATTTTATGGTGAACTCTTTTCGGAACGTGTCTTTAAATTTCATAAGCCAATGTGAAAATGTTTGCGCAGCGGTTTCAACGTTATCAGGATCGAGGATGCTCTCCCAGTATATACTAGATAAATAGCACGTTGATGATACTACGGTGATCGGCTTTCCGGAAATCGTATGACACGGTTGTGGAAATGAAGTCAAAGACCCGACCGTGATTGTCATCAACAGTGACAACACTTGGGAGCAAGGGTGAACTGTCAAGCGGGAGCGAAACATTCAGAAGCAGCAAATGCAGTTACTGTTCTTATCTACCGTCAAGCATTGTAATCTCATAAAAATGTTCTATGCTTTTTCATAACACATTCATAATTTTAAGCTCAAAGATAAAAACCAACAGGCTTAGTGATGAAAGTATAAAAACCAGGATGGTTTTTATGAGGCAGCTGAGTTTTCAATTACAGTAAAACATACTTTGGCGAAACATGTATGTAAACAAACTTTGATAGAGTCATGGGGGCTCGAGCACTCCTGGCTCAGAGCTTTTGGCGGGAATCAACTGAGAAAGAGCAAATCAATTTTAAACTTGAGAAAATTTTCAAGCAGTTTTCCATTGGCTTGCAAAATAAAATTGGTCAACTCCGCAGTACCCAGGTGATGATGTACTTGCTTTACTAGTGTATAAGGTGCCGTGGAGATGAATGGAGTGGTGTCCTAAACGCTCACGACATACATTTGACAATTGACAAACTTCGAACAAATATCTTCAAACAATCTTGAAATTTTTTCTTGAATGTCCCCGGATGAACATTTCAAAGTTGTTTCTTGGATTTTTACTAAACGACCTAAAACTTCTAGAGCCAGTTTTTGTAATTCTTCCCATCATGTCTGTTGTTTTTCGCTCCACAGTGCTCAAGCGGTTCCAAATCGGGTCTAGATTAGC